TTGAGACTTAGGACCTGAGTGCAAAAATGGAGGCTCTAGCCCCTTCCAGAGCTGAGATATCGAAACTCAAAAATTGGGCCCGAAAAAAAAACGACAGTGTGTGTACCCCTTACGTTTTTTTTTTGGGCGAAAAATTAAGTTTCTCCCAATCTTCCCAAAACTCTGGATTCTGATAGAGGGCCATGAGACTTAGACCTGAGTGCAAAATGGAGGCTCTAGCCCCTTCCAGAGCTGAGATATCGAAACTCAAAAATCGGCCCGAAAAAAAAAACGACAGTGGTACCCCGTTTTTTTTTTTTTGGGCGAAAAATTAAGTTTCTCCAATCTTCCCAAACTCTGGATTCTGATAGAGGGCCATGAGACTTAGACCTGAGTGCAAAAATGGAGGCTCTAGCCCCTTCCAGAGCTGAGATATCGAAACTCAAAAATTCGACCCGAAAAAAAAAACGACAGTGGTACCCCTTACGTTTTTTTTTTTTTGGGCGAAAAAATTCTCCAATCTTCCCAAAACTCTGGATTCTGATAGAGGGCCATGAGACTTAGACCTGAGTGCAAAAATGGAGGCTCTAGCCCCTTCCAGAGCTGAGATATCGAAACTCAAAAATTCGGCCCGAAAAAAAAACGACAGTGGTACCCTTACGTTTTTTTTTGGGCGAAAAATTAAGTTTCTCCAATCTTCCCAAAACTCTGGATTCTGATAGAGGGCCATGAGACTTAGACCTGAGTGCAAAAATGGAGGCTCTAGCCCCTTCCAGAGCTGAGATATCGAAACTCAAAAATTTCGACCCGAAAAAAAACGACAGTGGTACCCCTTACGTTTTTTTTTTTTGGGCGAAAAATTAAGTTTCTCCAATCTTCCCAACTCTGGATTCTGATAGAGGGCCATGAGACTTAGACCTGAGTGCAAAAATGGAGGCTCTAGCCCCTTCCAGAGCTGAGATATCGAAACTCAAAAATTCGGCCCGAAAAAAAAACGACAGTGGTACCCCTTACGTTTTTTTTTTTGGGCGAAAAATTAAGTTTCTCCAATCTTCCAAAACTCTGGATTCTGATAGAGGGCCATGAGACTTAGACCTGAGTGCAAAAATGGAGGCTCTAGCCCTTCCAGAGCTGAGATATCGAAACTCAAAAATTCGGCCCGAAAAAAAAAACGACAGTGGTACCCCTTACGTTTTTTTTTTTTTGGGCGAAAAATTAAGTTTCTCCAATCTTCCAAAACTCTGGATTCTGATAGAGGGCCATGAGACTTAGACCTGAGTGCAAAAATGGAGGCTCTAGCCCCTTCCAGAGCTGAGATATCGAAACTCAAAAATTCGGCCCGAAAAAAAAACGACAGTGGTACCCCTTACGTTTTTTTTTTTTGGGCGAAAAATTAAGTTTCTCCAATCTTCCCAAAACTCTGGATTCTGATAGAGGGCCATGAGACTTAGACCTGAGTGCAAAAATGGAGGCTCTAGCCCCTTCCAGAGCTGAGATATCGAAACTCAAAAATTCGGCCCGAAAAAAAAAAACGACAGTGGTACCCCTTACGTTTTTTTTTGGGGGGCGAAAAATTAAGTTTCTCCAATCTTCCAAAACTCTGGATTCTGATAGAGGGCCATGAGACTTAGACCTGAGTGCAAAAATGGAGGCTCTAGCCCCTTCCAGAGCTGAGATATCGAAACTCAAAAATTCGGCCCGAAAAAAAACGACAGTGGTACCCCTTACGTTTTTTTTTTTTTGGGCGAAAAATTAAGTTTCTCCAATCTTCCCAAAACTCTGGATTCTGATAGAGGGCCATGAGACTTAGACCTGAGTGCAAAAATGGAGGCTCTAGCCCCTTCCAGAGCTGAGATATCGAAACTCAAAAATTCGGCCCGAAAAAAAACGACAGTGGTACCCCTTACGTTTTTTTTTTTGGGCGAAAAATTAAGTTTCTCCAATCTTCCCAAAACTCTGGATTCTGATAGAGGGCCATGAGACTTAGACCTGAGTGCAAAAATGGAGGCTCTAGCCCCTTCCAGAGCTGAGATATCGAAACTCAAAAATTCGGCCGAAAAAAAAACGACAGTGGTACCCCTTACGTTTTTTTTTTTGGGCGAAAAATTAAGTTTCTCCAATCTTCCCAAAACTCTGGATTCTGATAGAGGGCCATGAGACTTAGACCTGAGTGCAAAAATGGAGGCTCTAGCCCCTTCCAGAGCTGAGATATCGAAACTCAAAAATTCGGCCCGAAAAAAAAAACGACAGTGGTACCCCTTACGTTTTTTTTGGGGGGCGAAAAATTAAGTTTCTCCAATCTTCCCAAAACTCTGGATTCTGATAGAGGGCCATGAGACTTAGACCTGAGTGCAAAAATGGAGGCTCTAGCCCCTTCCAGAGCTGAGATATCGAAACTCAAAAATTCGGCCCGAAAAAAAAACGACAGTGGTACCCCTTACGTTTTTTTTTTTTGGGGCGAAAAATTAAGTTTCTCCAATCTTCCCAAAACTCTGGATTCTGATAGAGGGCCATGAGACTTAGACCTGAGTGCAAAAATGGAGGCTCTAGCCCCTTCCAGAGCTGAGATATCGAAACTCAAAAATTCGGCCCGAAAAAAAAACGACAGTGGTACCCCTTACGGTTTTTTTTTTTTGGGCGAAAAATTAAGTTTTTCCAATCTTCCCAAAACTCTGGATTCTGATAGAGGGCCATGAGACTTAGACCTGAGTGCAAAAATGGAGGCTCTAGCCCTTCCAGAGCTGAGATATCGAAACTCAAAAATTCGGCCCGAAAAAAAAAACGACAGTGGTACCCCTTACGTTTTTTTTTTGGGCGAAAAATTAAGTTTTCCAATCTTCCCAAAACTCTGGATTCTGATAGAGGGCCATGAGACTTAGACCTGAGTGCAAAAATGGAGGCTCTAGCCCTTCCAGAGCTGAGATATCGAAACTCAAAAATTCGGCCCGAAAAAAAAACGACAGTGGTACCCCTTACGTTTTTTTTTTTTTGGGCGAAAAATTAAGTTTCTCCAATCTTCCCAAAACTCTGGATTCTGATAGAGGGCCATGAGACTTAGACCTGAGTGCAAAAATGGAGGCTCTAGCCCCTTCCAGAGCTGAGATATCGAAACTCAAAATTCGCCCGAAAAAAAAAACGACAGTGGTACCCCTTACGTTTTTTTTTTTTGGGCGAAAAATTAAGTTTCTCCAATCTTCCCAAAACTCTGGATTCTGATAGAGGGCCATGAGACTTAGACCTGAGTGCAAAAATGGAGGCTCTAGCCCCTTCCAGAGCTGAGATATCGAAACTCAAAAATTCGGCCCGAAAAAAAAAACGACAGTGGTACCCCTTACGTTTTTTTTTTTTGGGCGAAAAATTAAGTTTCTCCAATCTTCCCAAAACTCTGGATTCTGATAGAGGGCCATGACTCAGTGAATATCTGCATTTTGAGGCATTTTTTTTTTTTTGCCATTTTGGAACTTGATAGCCCCTGACCTCCTTTATTGCCATTATTTTGAAAATAATGTCCAGGATATTCTTAAAAAAATCCATTCTGAAGAAAGAAAGTCATTGGTTTCAAAAGACATCAGAAAAAAGTCACAGAATGCTCATTTCGGGGTTAATGATTCTGTCTATTTATTTCAGATTCCCAGCCTCAGCCACAGTGTGGTGTCTCAGACGAGTTTCCGGGCAGAATACAAGTCCACGGCCGGCCCCACCGTGTTCCAAAAACCAGTGAAGTTCCAGGTGGACATCACCTACACCGAAAGCACGGCTGCCACCAAGGAGAACGGCATCTACTCTGTCACTTTCACACTGCTCTCAGGTAACCATGCCGACGGAGAGAAGCCCATTTTGATGTCATACACTTGCTGGCAGCCAATAGAAACACAGAGCGATGTGTGTCTGTGTGGGTGATGGAGAGGCTGGTTGATGATGTTGAACTTTGTCTGTCGCAGTGGTGAGAGATTTTTTTTTTCCCTCTCTCGTTCCGCTAGCGGTTCCCTTCCTCCATTACACTCCCCCTCTCTTAAGCTGAAAATAGACCAACTGCTCGAGGGGGTAATGGAAAAAATTTAACTAAAAGAGGACTTTTTGCCTCCTGGTAATCACTATGCATTTTCAACCTGCTGTGTTTCAAAGGACAATCCAAAAAGATCCCATGCTGCTGGTGCCATTACTGCAAACCCTGTCCCTCTCTTTTCATTTCCCCCCTTCCTCGTTTTTGCTCTCTTGGCTACACAAAAGGGATTGAATCTTGTTCTTAAAGTCACATGCATTTTGCATGTGCACGTCATAAACTCAGCTGTAGGCCAAATGCAACATAAAAACCAGCCCCATCCCATAGACTTTATGAGGCAGACGCTAGAGGGAATCAACCCAGGATGTATCAGCATAAAATGACATTCATTTCAAAAGACACACATGTACCAGTCTCTACAGGATGATTGCGAAACATTCAAAAGCGTGTTGTCTGTGTTTGCGTGTCCCCTGCAGGTCCCAGTCGACGCTTCAAACGGGTGGTTGAGACGATTCAGGCTCAGTTGTTAACTACACATGACCAGCCTGGTGTCCAGCAGCTGTCTGGTGAGTGGCCAATCACTCCACTGACACCTCCCTTTCTCTCTCTCTCTTTCTCTTCCTGCTTTCTTACACAGCATCCTGAACATGCATGGCACCTAGCCCACCCACGCAGAGCACTGAACGCTGCACACACCCATCAAGGTCAAACGAGTCTTTCCAGTGTTTCAAGTTATTGTTAGAGGTTGTTTCAAAGACATTTGCAGGCCATCAATATGAAAATAAACTTCTCGAAAGGGTTAGAAACAATATATCCACTGTTCCATGTATGTCGGATGTGATGTCTTATTCAAAGGTGCTGGAAATACACGTTTGACCTTATCAAAGAACATTGCACAGAACCGCATTGCAAGGCACTGGCACACATGCACACACTCTCCTTAGCAGTCACACACACTCACAGAGCATGCTAGAGCACACTCGCGTGTATTATCCAGGGTTTATATCCATATCCAGGAAATGTTTTGGAGATATTCAAATCAAACCTGTGTCCCAGTTAAATGTTAAAATGTGGCTTCAAACTGTTGGTTTTACGAGCAGAAATGTGATGGGCTAGACTGTGGTTCCTGCTGGAGATGATGAAATAAGAGAACAGAGAAATCCTTCGCCTGTCTTCTCATACTGTCAAAATGTGCACATGGTGAAGAGCCTGTTACAGCTCCCTCTGCTGGACAGCTCCAAATCCATTCTGTCCAAAAGCAATAAAAGTAGTAATACAGAAAAGGGAGTTTGGTATATCAATTCTGCATTATCGTATGTCTACTGTGCACAATATGTACATTTTTCCATGTTCATTAAATACCTGGATGACTTGGATGACATATGCCAAAGTGTTCACACTGCATCGGGTACTGTATCCCACAATGCAATGTTCAACTTCCATTTCCAGTGTATTGGAATTCATATATATATGATATATATATATATATATATCATTTAACTGTAAGCAATATTAACTAGATTTTTCAACATTTTTGTTTTTATTTTATTTAAAAAATTGGATGCTTTTGGTTTCACATATCTTTTAAAAATATTAGGCACCCCAGCAAGCAATAACACCATCTCGACTAACTATAGACCCGATATAGTAGGGCTATGAGTAACCCAATTCTAGCATTAATAACATTCAATTTGGTTATATGTTGGTTTTGCCTAAATAACTTTCGATATAGATGATATTCCATCATGTAAGCAAAGTCAACAGTGAATACAAGGTGTTTGGTTTCATTTCTTTGACATGGTCTATGTGAAGCCTGTGCGTCTATTCTTGGGCTATGGTTTCGACGTCTTTAATATTTTCACTGACAAATTTTGCCTTGTTTTAGCCTAGACGTCAGGGCTGTGTTAGGCTATTAAACGTCTTTCTAAACGCAAAGGTGCTTGCTTGGAGACACTGTGTAGTATACTGTTTCATTCATTACCTTTGAAATGGAAGGTCAATTTGGACATTTTGTATAGTGAGGTGGTTGGTACAATGCCTGTAACTGTGCTCTGGTTGTAAACTGCAGACCTTAGCAAACAAGTCATCTATGTATTCCATGTTTCATAAAGAAAATGATTGTGGACAGTATAGCCTACATTCTGCATACTGCAAAAATAGTATCATTTTTGTAGTATGCCATTTCAAACAAACCCCCTCTATCTTAATGCCTTATTCTATAAAAGATGTGGGAAACAGAATTTACGAAATTGTATTGTGCATTTGGACTGTCTTAAAGAAGAGCTGTTATCAGGATCACGACCCATCGCCAGCATAGCCATCGTTCCATCCTCTCACCCTGTCAATCACATCCATCCCTTTCCCCCTGGCTTTGCCCTTCACCCCCTGCTCGTCCATGGCTCATGGTCATAGTGGCTGTTGAGTGAATGGGCACGTGAGCTTGAGTGTGCTGTCCTTACTGACCGTGTGCAGACCTGCACAGCACTGATCACCAGCATGCTTCACTCTCAACAGATGTGGCCACGCAATAAATATCTGTGCAAGAAGGTCGAATCACTGAGTTTGTGTCTTTACTGTAAAATCAGTGGGGTGCATTGCGAATGTCATCACGCTGATTTCATGCAGCCGCCTTTTTGAAATGGCTCCGGTGGGAAGAAAACCGGAAGTTGTCGCCTTTAATCATAGAAGAATCATATATAATCAAAAGAAATCATATATATATAATATATAATTCAGATCATAAAAAAAGAAGCAGGAACAAACTATATACATATCCTATATTGGATATTAACATCCAATAGTGTAAATCACGGCAGCAGCTTCAGGTTGGTAGTCCAAGGCATTGTTCTCTGTCTGTACTTCCTGGGTTCTTCCCACCGGAGCCTCGCTTTCGATTTTTTTAAAATGGCGGCTGGGTGAAATCAGCGCATATAGGCTGAATATTTTATTTGATCGGACATGTTACAGTAATATGTCATGTTCCTTTGACAGGAAAGCGTTCAAAGTGTGGTAAGAGGTTTATTCACTCCTGCCACGGTGTATGCCACTTTTGTTATCATACACACGGTGTCCAATATGTGGGACTTATACACAGAGACTCTTTAAAGGGGTAGTTCACCGAAAAAAATTACTTCTGACCTCATTTACTCACTCTCACGTTGTTCCAAACTTTTAATCATTCCTCTTTGAAACGCTTATCTTTAGCGCATCAAAAAGTAGAAGAGACACAATTTTTTTTTAATTTATTATTATTATTATTATTATTATTATTATTATTATTTTGAAGACTTGGGTTAAAATGCTTGATTAATAAAGATTATTTTTACAATCTTGTACTTTTGACGTGTCAAAGTTTTGGTTGCATGGACTTTCAATTGACTTTCAATTTTACAAAACAAAAGTCTTGTGTTTGGACGAGTAAATTATAATTCACCCATAATTTTCATTTTTGGGTGAACAACCCCTTTAAATTTAAAATATGCACAGATGTGTTTATGTGTGTGTGCATGAACTCACTTGATAGGACAATCCATAAAAGTTTCAATTTAAAATCTCTAGAGAGATGAAGCTTCATGCATACTTCATGTTGTTTTTTCTCTCCGTATTCGATTCTTGCATCACTACTACTTTGCTTTGTGGGTCAATTGTTGCATCTGAATCACTTTGGTGAAAGGCCTCATTAATTTAGACATTTAATCAGCAGCTCTTATGAATCTGTTATATCAGGTTTTCTATTTGAAGATAATGTTGAGCTTTTACGTTTTAACATGCATCTCAGCACCTCTGCTTTCTAAATACTTCTTTCATGTTGATCATTTGGGACGTTTTACAGTAGAAATAATCATCTGTAGAATCACTGTGAGGGGTAGAATACTAAAGGGACTAGTTTGCTCAGTGTGACCTACTTATGTAGGTCCCTGTAAATACAAAATGAGTTTTAAAACAAGTACCAGGAAAGTCTGTTCAGAATTGTTTGGGTTTACTATAGGATTAATAGTTGTTTTTAAGGAAGAGTAGTCATTAGCCATCATTTGCCAAAAATGTAGTCCTGCTAACACGCACAAGATTTTAGGAACTATAAAATAACGCATTAATTGTATAGTTCCCATAGCTCATTTGCAATTTCAGCTGCTTTCTTTCTTCTTCCTTTTTTTTATAAAATGCCATAAGCCTGGATTTGAATAGGTCAGTTCATATTGGATGTAACCTGGATGCATTCAAATCTGGAATATGGTAACTACAAATATAATTGTATAATTACATTTTTATGGTGAGCCAAAAATCCTCTGTTTAGCCTCTGTGAATTTCGGTGGTCCTAAACCAATAATGGTCCAATAGTAACACTTACAGTTGACCCTTTCACTGCAGCTCAGAACATTCCCCATAAGAGAAAAATAGCCTTGCTGTAGTGGTACTTTTGTGTATCTGTAATGGTTTACCCAGCATAAATCTAAACAGAGATGAGCATTTGCAATGTCTCACAGTAGAAATGCTGAAGCAATGTCCTGAGTGTTTCAAAGCTGCCACATCTGTCATGTCTATTTGAGAGTCTCTTAGGCTGTGGTAAAGCAGGCTGTCGTGATGTTGAGAGGAGTCCCGATTGTGTTGAGAGACTCAGAGACAAGCTCTGGGACTAAGGCAATCTACTCTAGTGTTCACATAGGCCACGTTCTGCCATGCTATAGCCTGTGTTATCGGGGCCGCTGCTACTCAACCACTTATGAAATTGGAAATAGAGGTGATGTTTTGCAAGCCTGTGTGTGTCAAATAGGGTGTGTAGTTAATCCGTTTGAACCGGCTGTCAGGTGTATTCAGAATCTGCAACAACTTGTACCACTGCATTTCAATGATGAATTTAGCATGAATATATGCAGCTATATGTACCAGGGTGTAAATATATCCTTTGACAATGATTGAATTCAATTATGGTTAAGTCATGTAATACATCATGGCATTTGTTCATGATTCCATTCAGCTCAGTGGTTTTAGCACCATTCTTAATTATTAAATAATGAAGACACATTTAATTGCAGTAGGGTTGAGACCAAGTCTAGTTTCTTTAAAAAATAAATAAATACTGGAATCAAATGATTTTCATGATGTTCTTCAACATGCATTCTTCCACTGCTATCAACAGAACACTATAGTGAAATACTGTGGCAGGGTTTCCTGCAGTCATCATTCAGGGGTGCTGCAACAACACTACAGAGTGAAACAAATAGAAACCAGTGTAGACCCAATAGTTATGAGTCAGGTTGTCTTGCAAACAGTGTAAGTGTAGTCCAAATTCTGAACAAAAGACTATTATGAATCAGTTCTTTTAAGTAAATCAAATTCAGTGTGACCAGTGTACCCCGATTTCACAAACAAATGAGTCATTTAATGATGAACAAGTGATTCAAAAACCTACTGCAAAACCATTGTCATTCGACTCGCTAAAAATCATTATTGAACTGGTTCTTTTAAATCAATCCAAAACATACACTGTCACCATTGGAGTCTGATTCCCAAACAAATGACTCATTTAGACAAGTTGGTAGCCCAGACAGCCGCATAGTGTCGGCCCAGATCCAGCCCACATCTGGTACATGTGGATTCCACACGGTCCAGTTGTGGCCCAGATCTGGGCCGACATTATGTTGCTGTCTGGGAAGTGAATCAAAAACATACAACTCGACCAGTTCCAATTCATGAAAAGAAAGAGAAAAGATTCTTATAAGCGGGTTCTTTTAATCAAAAACTAACTCGACCAGTTCCAATTAGTGCAAAAAAACAAAACAAAAACAAGATTCTTATAATCAAGTGAATCAAGAACAAACACCATGACCAGTAGTCCAATTTATAAATGAACATGTATTATGAACCGGTTCTTTTAAAGGAATCAGAAACATACATAATTGACCAGGGGTGTGTTTCCCATACATTTCCCATGCATCGTTGGAGAAATCAACTAGCTAGTCATGACTGTTTCCCGAAACCCACTGTCGCAAAGTATCGTTCAACCACATTGGTTTTGCACGTGGTGGAGTAATAACTACTTTTAATGAAACTGTTTGAGATCCAATTAACGCTAGATTTGTTTTATATAAATTACAGACATGTCATCTAAGGACTATTTCTAATCGTTCTCAGTTGTTTTTCTTTATTACCAGACTCAATATTTGTCTCGTTCTTACATAGTAAAGCACGTTGCATATGCGCACTCTTCAAACACGGTACTTCAAATCTTTTGACAAACTAAAAGACGTAAATTACATGTGTATGTATTCTAAATAAAAGGCACCGGTTGTTCTGAATGTCAGCTTGCTTATTTTGCTCAAGATAATCATTTATTACCTCCAAATGTCATGCAATATAGAAACAATGCCTCTAACCATAGGTCGAGAGCTGTCGTTCAAACCACACAACTTTGCGATGCTGTTTGTGAATGTTCGTTGGAACGATGGTTTCGGGAAACACCGACTCTTTGAACTATGCTGATAACGACGGAACTTGCGACCATAGTTCGCTAACGATGCTTTTGGGAAACGCATCCCAGAGTAGTCTGATTTGTGAACAAATGAATCAACCAGGCAGTTTTCATTGTCAGGTGTACTAATGCATATTTACACCCTGAATATATACTAAATAGCCTACCATATAGCATTTGCTAAATTCTTCATTGATGTACATTCACTCACAATTTGAATACCTAAACTTCATCAGTACAGATGATTTTCTTTGTAATACATCAACATTTGTTTTCATTCCATCCAGTGACGATCACAGATCAGATGGAGACTGCTCAGCCACAGATACTCACTACCACAATGAGACCCAGTAACACAGCTGCACTGTCAAACAGTTAACATGCCTGCAGATCCATGTCAGAAACATGGCTTGTTGTCTCCAGTTTATGCAGTCTCATCCTGCCTCTCATCATCTCACCTTGCCTCGTCTGTGATCCTCATGGTTCATGTATTTGTTCTCTGTCTCTCTCTCTCTCTCTCTCCTTTCTTGTTTTCTTGTTCTTCTCCTCTTCTCCCATCTGTGCACCCAGGCAGCCCATTGAGTAACTTCTTTGACGTAATTAAACAGCTCTTTTCAGACGAGAAGAACGGGCAGGTTTCCCATCCGCCCGGCACGCCCAAGCATGCCAACAGCAAGAGACACGAGCCTGAGCCTAATGACTCCAAATGTCCATCTGGCCAAGACAAAGCCAAGATGGCACCATCAGTTGGGACACAGGAACAACCTTAAAACCTGGAGAAATACTAGATTAGTAGTTTTAAAAATAAAATAAAAGAATCCAGTCATGGTGACCACTGAAAGGATGTTGTTGACTGAAGTACAACGTTTTATATAATGGAATGAGTACTGAAGTACTGTACGTACTGACCCGACACTTTACAAAAGGCGCATACAGACACGCATATATTTATTTTCTCTCCAGTGTGGTTTTGTCTTCACAGTGTCTCTTTAAATTCTGTTTGATGATGCCTTTATTTATTTATTTCTGCTACCAGGAATTATCCAGAAAACGTGTTAAAGCCCAAGTCCCGCTCTTGCACAAGATTCAATGTTTGGCACATTGATGGAGGGCACATTACACAGGAAGTTCAGTACAAGCCGCTGAGGGAAACTCCTCAATCTGATGCATCTAAACACCCCAAACACCAACAAGAGCTGTTCCAACCTATTCCTCAACTCCTTCCTCCTGCAGCTACTGTACATAGAGCCACACATGTCCATGGATTTGGAGTGGAGCCTTAAAATAAAGATGTTTATGAATTCTCAATAAGCTAACCAACAATTCATCTTTTTGTTTAAAGATCCTTGCTCGTCTTTTATCCTATTCCTTCTCTCTGCTGATGCACACACAAACGTACATACAGGACATCGTTACAAAAGGACACATGGCGAATGGAACGCACGACGCACATGTTTGGGGAGTTGCCCTCGAGGACCGTTGTTGGATTGTATTCTTTTCATTGTAGTCTTTTTTTTTGTGAAATGAAGAATTTAAAGCATTTTATGAACTCAGTGTCATTGCTGTACAAGATTTGGAGAACCTATTTGAAAAATGATGGGGTGCTGTGGACTGGGATACGGGGGTGGGAGGGGGGGCGTCACAGTAAATGATCTATTCTGTTGTACAGACTAAAATATTCCTTATGTAACAAATGTCTATGAGTGACATTGCTTAGATGAATTGTGTTGCCACATACTGTTTTTTTTTTTTCTCATGTAGCGTTTATGAAATGTTAGATTTGAATGACAATTATGCTTAATGTATTCAAGGATGTCAATTTTAAATTTTTATTTATTTTGTGTTTAATTTTTATTGAGAAACATCTGCAGGATTCAGAGACCTTTTTAGAGACCTTTTTTTTCTCTCTAACTTATTTATGTGTTTTTTTGTCTTTTTTTAATTTATTCAGCTGGGGAATACTTACAAAACCAGCTGGTGAAGATTTTATTTTTTGCATCAGGGCGACTCGTCAGATTGTTTGAAGGATCTTGTGTTTTGTGTACGATAACACTTATCCGATTTTGTGAATGAAGCACTCTTTCTTTCCCGGCTTTGACCAGATTAAAGAGCCTGTAGTATATGTTAAATTATTTACTGGTAATTTAAGAATGTAGACTAGCCTCTTTAGGGTGGGGGGGAGGGGGGTGAGGGATAATGAAGTATTGATATTTGTCACTCATCTCATTGTGCGTGTAAAACAGGTGGACAAGCTCAAATCACATGTTGTAAATAGACAACTTTGGGCAAATGACTTTCTTAAAACCATCAAGGGGATCCTGCTGCTCCCGACTCTATCTCTCGTATTGCATGTCCGACATTAGGCTTTAATTTGCATGATGTTGTGGATGTTAAATTTCTCCTCCCCTTCTCCTTTTCCATCATCGACTTGTTTCCCCCGTTATCATGCCTTCATTTTCAGTTTGTCGTTTTTCTCTCTCATCTCCCTTATCGTGAACGCTTTCTCACCACATGCTCTACTGCATCATGCTCTCGGTTTGGGGTTCTGGGATGTCATAACACTTGATCACTTATGGGAACATACAGTGTGGAGAATAAGTGGAGATGTAATCTAAGCAATACACATTGTTGTCCTTCATATTTTGTACTTTGGGAGAGCTGGATTGTAATGTATCACGGATTTGAATAATACAGAGCGGGAAAAATAGAATCGCCGCTAATGTATCCCCTTGTAACTACTGTGAACAACTTCAGTGCAACGGAAATAAATCCATTGACTTTGGGATGTTTATGTGTGTTTTCTGTTCTTATCTCTGCATGTAAGATGGGGCAAAATGAACACCTTATTTTTAATCTGTTGACCATAGATGGCACAAAATCTCAACCCATTTGATGAATGGATACATATTTTTTTATTTTTTTATTTCATCTGAATATCAACATTTGTACGATTGTTAGTCCAAATAGATTTTGAGGTTAATTGAATAGTGATTTCTGACATTATATTATGGTGAATATCATTTTTCTTCTATTTGTTAATGAGGGTTTTGTAGACACATAATCTGTTTAGATTGTGGAGTACACATTGTTTTAAAATTAAACCATTAAGGTAGGAATTGGCACAAAAGGCTCAGAGTTGCATGTACTGTAATGTATATATTACATTATATATGAAGAGTTCAGATGCAAAAGCCTCTAAATGCCATTTAAAAAATTTTCTTCTTTAATGATGATTTTTATCAAACTTGTATATTTAAGTTCAGTAATTTCACTTAAATAACAATTAATAGGTAATTATCATTGCCATTTAAGTGAAATCACTGAACTTAAATATACAAGCTTGATAAAAATTATCATTCTAGAAGAAAATTTCAAATGGCATTTAGAGGCCTTTGCATCTATATATATATATATATATTTTTTTTTTTTAATGGATGCATTTATGGGGTTATTATTCAGTAATACCATGACTAAAGCCTAGTTCACACTACATGATTTAAAAATGTCCGGCTGAACTGTGCAGTTCACACTACATGACTTGCTCTCAGTGAAATCATGAGTGTTCAAGTTGTTTAGCTGTTCACACCACACAACACAACGTGATTGATCCACAACAGGAGGTAACTCACTACACGAGTTAACAACGCACTACATAGAGATACAACCACGATCGGATGATAAGAGCATATCATTTGTGACTCAATGAGAGCTGTTTCAGTACTATAGTACGGTCTAAATCCTTTAAATAATCAAATAAATAACGAGTTGACAACAACACGATTCTATCTGGTCTAGAAACCATGTTTTGTAACGAAAAACCACGCAATACAACGAACCAGAAATGACGTGAAACTGCAGAGAAGAACACAACACGCGAATATGGACGTCAGACAGAAACTAGTGCTGCACACTGTTTGCTCGACGATCTGCTCTGAGAAAAAAAAAATGCAAAAAAGAAAAAGTAAGATTTATTATTATTATTATTATACATTTTATTTCTAGGCGCCTTTCTTGACACTCAAGGTCACCGTACATTATACAAAACAAAACAATAAAAATTACAATACAATTAAAATACAACATAGTCAGAGGGAGTAAGCTATTCTAAAAAGATGGGTTTTAAGTTTTGATTTAAAATGTGAGAGGGAATCAATATTACGGAGGTCCGGTGGAAGCGAGTTCCAGAGTTGGGGAGCAGAGCAGCTAAAAGCTCTGCTACCCATAGTGACAAGGCGGACACGGGGAACAGTGAGATGGATGGAAGAGGAGGATCTAAGAGTGCGAGCAGATGTGGATATATGGAGAAGATCAGAAAGATATGAAGGGGCAAGATCATGAATGACTTTGAAAGTTAGGAGAAGTATTTTATAGTTGATACGATAAATGATAGGTAGCCAATGGAGTTGTTGTAAGATTGGAGTGATGTGATGGATAGCGGGGGTACGGGTGATAATACGAGCAGCTGAATTTTGGACCATTTGTAGTTTACGAAGTGTTTTATGCGGGAGGCCAAACAAGAGGGAATTATAGTAATTTAAACGAGAAGTGACTAGACTATAAACAAGAATGGCAGTGGAATGAGGCGTAAGGAAAGGGCGCAGACGGTTGATATTTCGAAGATGATAATAAGCAGACCGGGTAACATTATTAACATGAGACGTAAACGAGAGGGTGCTATCTAAGATGACACCCAGACTCTTAACCTGAGGGGAGGGGGAGATGTAGGAACTATCAATGGGAATTGAAAATTATGAAGTTTGTTTAATGTTGATCTTGTGCCAATAAGAAGCAATTCTGTTTTTGGTGCTATTTAATTTAAGGAAGTTTGAAGTGAACCAGGATTTTATGTCAAGGAGACAGTTAGTAAGGGAAATGGTGGAAGTATTGAGTTAGGTTTTGTTTGAAAGATAGAGCTGGGTGTCATCTGCGTAGCAATGGAACTGAATCTGATATTTACGGAAAATGTGACCAAGAGGAAGAAGATAAATAATAAAAAGCAGGGGTCCCAGGACAGAGCCCTGGGGCACTCCTGTGGTGACAGGAACTGAATGAGAAGTGAATGATTTTAACTGAATAAACTGAGTGCGGCCAGAGAGATAGGAATAAAACCAGTTAAGAGGCGTGTTAGTAATACCGATAGAGGAAAGTCTGTCTAATAGGATAGTGTGTGAGATTGTATCGAATGCTGCGCTCAAATCAAGCAGAAGAAGAATAGATAATAAACCAGAATCAGCAGCCAGAAGAAGGTCATTAGTGATTTTAAGGAGTGCCGTTTCTGTGCTGTGAAGAGAACGGAAACCAGACTGGAATTGTTCATATAAATTATTCTCGGAAAGATGTGTATGAAGTTGAGCAGCAACTATTTTTTCCAGAATCTTGGTGATGAATGGGAGATTTGAGATAGGACGAAAATTATTAAAGTTATTGGGATCTGAACCAAGTTTCTTAAGAATTGGAGTTACAGCAGCTGTTTTAAGAGAAGAAGGAACAATTCCAGTGGCAAGAGAAGAATGAATAATGTTTGTGATGAGATTTACCTGGTGTCCTCAACCCATGCGTTGCTATGATTGGCTGTACTCATGACATCACTGAGATTGAGTCGCGCGACTGCTCGAGATATCTAGCATGCTAGATATTTTTCTGAGCTCGGTGACCTGTCTGCGAGGCGTCTGCGAGCTGTCTTTAATGCGTTGTTGGCTCTTTCACACTAACGGATTGGCGAGCGTTAATCGTCCGCTAATCGCCCGCGATTTGCACGCGATAACACCCTGACTTGTCGGCGACTCAACGATTTGCAAATCGGGCTTAAATCGGGCTTAAAATCACGTAGTGTGAACTAGGCTTTAGATGTACTGTACATTTCAGACATTTTCGCTTTTCATTTTAACCCTACAGGCCAATTAAGAGAAATCATTCCATTTGAATTCACAAAGTTGCTATTATGACATTATTTTCAAATAAAATATGGGCCATATGGAAATATTCATGTCTGTCTACTAGTAATAAAATAAACTTACCTTTCAAATAAATCTCTTTTAGGGGATGGCGGGGTCGATTGCAACACTTTTTGCATTTCCTTCATGTTCTCAGAGACAGTTTCTATTTGAAAGACAACATTTGTATTACCCCATATCTGTCAGCTACCCACCCAAACTGCTGTGACATGCATACATATGATAATATACCTACATTTAATACTTGAATAGACAGAAATTTATGTCTGTTTTTGACATGACCTGTTTTTTTATGTAACGTTTAGAGCCTAGGCTGCGCTCGAAAATCACATTCTCTCTTTCGAGTAGGTACTTATTTTGAATGCCTAATTACGGTACTTCACACCTGCTAAAAAAAATATAGGAGTATGAATTTAATCTGGATGTGCTTCATTCGCCATTTTTCCCTTATCACATCGTCAGTTGCATGGTAGGTCACAAAAATGCAGCACAAACACAAGCCGAACACTTCTTAAATCTGCAGTGGTCAGCTGGTACAGCGGCCATATGGTCCAAGTCATAGCTCTCATTAAATTATGAGTTTAATTACAAGTTCTACAGTTCAGAATTGCTATGGTAATTATGACATTGTGTGAACACACCTATACTTCTTTTGTCACAGTCCTTCACCTACTAGCCTACATACAGTAGTAGAGAAGTATGCAATTTCGGATACAGCCCTAGTTGTGGACTATTGACTCTTCGTAAAGACCTGTTGCTACATCCCATAAGCCTTGTTTTTTTTTTTTTTTTTTTTTTTTTTTTTATTGAAATAATTATACATTACAGTAAATAAAAATACAACATAAATTAAATAATAATAACAATAAAAAACAAACAAACAAAAAAAAGAAACCGGTATGAGATCATGAAGTAAATAACATAAAATCTTCACATAAAGACCTCGTACGTTTTGCTTAACTATTTTTTAACCCAAGAAGTAACTCACAATAATTTTTCATTTCTATCTGAAATAAAAAAAATTGGTTTCCCTTTAGCCCATTTTTGCTTGTGTATATTTCCCCTGGTGCTCTCACGCCACACGTTCTAACGCAGTCATCGTGGAGCAAAGTAGCTACAACACACTCCACTCCCAAACAACACACAGGGGAATGTTTTAGTCCTGCCGAGGCCAGACTAACCCCCATTTCTCAATCAACAAACAGCGACACAAAGCTGTGATGACGCTCTCTTATTTGATCGCACTAACTTAGAGCTATGGTATACGATGTTAAAAATCGTTCGAGACGGTAGGGAAGTTTAAAAAAAAACTCATCCCGCCCCTCCACACACACCCCCCTCCCCTCTGTGCTACCTGATCCCTGACGTATGTCACATTTGAGTTCTCGTCAACGCAAGATTAGCAACACATGAAATGTTCTAAACTCCCCACCACCATTATAATACTACTAGTATTGCTAAGGTTTTCAGTAATTGTTATTGCAGCACGCAGCGCATCTTGTTCAAATTCCGATCGGCTCGAGAAACCTCGAACAGGAAATATAATTACTTTGAACCGCGATCGGCGATGCTAAACGGCTAACATTCCAATGCCGACCGGCAGCATGAGCAAGTTGTCAAACTGATAAAAAGCCACGTAACACGTCACACCATAAAAGAATAAATAAATGTTTACCTGCTCAACAAAAAGTCATCCGTGTCAGCGTCGTTTTCAGCCCCAGATCTCCCTGAAGCTTTCTCCAATGGTCAATGAAGGACGCTATATTTATCCTACTTAGAGTCCGGCGTTCTTCACATTTCTTTTTAATCTCTGATCTTTCCTCCACAGACTTTCT